AAACCTGATTTTATAACTTTTCTTAGCAGCATAGTAACTGCCACAGTCGCTCGTGGCAGTTGTATACAGCTGCAGCTTTTACTGACTGCAGCTGAACAGCATCACCGTCAAGTGCTCCAAGCAGGGACAAACCATTTCATTCAGATCCAGGGGGGTTCAGGGCAAATATGGATGTGTGTTTTTTGATCTGGGAGTGGGAGCATTAAACTTTTACAGCTAAAAACAATATTTGAAATTACAATATGATTAATTTTGCATTTGACAGGACCCCATGTTTTTTTATTTTATGTCTATGAACAAAATATAAATAATTAAATTGTGGAGGGCCCCCTGCTGGTCAGGGCCCCTAGAGTCGTCATCACTTTTCATCCCTTTACGCGCCCCTGCACACACACATGCAGTCCCATGGGATGTTTACATAATGAAAGTTGCAAACCGATCAGTGGATAGGGGTTTGTTATGACAAATTTATAACAGAACTATGATATGAAAGGTGCAACTGAAATAACAAGAATGAGTGCAAGTCCTAAGTGCTTAGTGGCAAGATTTTACAAATAGATTATGTTTATCTTGAATGTTGTGGTGAGACAATCTCTGGTGTTAATGTATAGCTTGAATAAGCAATAAACAAGATGATAAAACAAGTTAATATTTGATCTGTTATCAAGTTAATGTCCAATCTGTTTAGGATTGGGACTTCTAAATTAATATATTTACAAATCAACAAATTATTCATCTTTTTAAGTATGCTAATTTGAAGATAACTTGCCCGTTCTCTGGGGAATTGACCAAAGAAGTCTGGATGAACAGCAAAATAAAATGGTCTGAGAGCGTTGACAGCCTCTGCAGCTGACAGAGCTCTCTGCTGGACTAGAAAAGCCATCACCTGCTGCCTCTGTGACCTGAAACAAGACAAGACATAGATATTCATTTCAAGGTTCCTGCTTAGTCTGCCTCCTTATACAGAAATAAAATATGGCTGATTTTGTGTGTACAGTCATCTGACTGCACACACGATGTAGAGACTCATAGTTCAGACTGTAATAGCAACCCTGAACAGGAGCACCTAGTTTACATACTTTAGATCAACATAAGATTATTTTTCTTCCTTTGCTCTTTTTCTTCTTCTTTCCTTTGGTTTGTTATTTTGTTTGTATTTCCTTTTAATTCATGAAAAGCACTTTAAATTGCCTTGTTGCTGAAAATGTGCTGTATAAATAAAATGACCTTACCTGACCTACCTAATAGATGAGCTGTTTTTCTGCTTGAATGCTTACTTTAAATCAGGAACCCTATTCCCATGTTTTTCAATTATTAGATGACTTCCTGCTCCAAAGCACTGGAATCAGATGGCTTCATTTCCACCTCACCGTCTCTTTAGGTTTTGCAGAGGCCCAATAATGAGCCATTCATTTGTTTCAGGTGTGTTGAAGCAGTTTTAAAAGGTTTCAGAAATATGGCTCTTCAGGTTCCTCTGCTGTAGAACTTGACAGCAAGCGGAAAGGTAAATAATTCATTTGACTCAAGTGTGTTTCAACCTTTTAAAAGTTGGAGGACATAGGGGCATACAGAATGAGTCGTCGTTTTTTCCCAGAGGCAGGGACGGAGCAGCAGGCTTTCACTGCCAGGCCCTGGACCAGTTGAGTCCCCCTATTCAGAGCAGGCTGAGCGGGCTCCTGTGGTGCTGCTTAGACCCAGCATTACCGGACCCCTCAATCCGACCAATGTCCTGTACCAGACTTACACCCTACTACAAAGCCTCAAGTCTAAGGAAAACTCAAAGCACAGTGAATCTTCTTTTTTCATTACAGAAATGATTTGACACAATATGGACTTGGTGAATTCTTATTTGACAGAAGATTTATGATTTCAAAATGTTGGCAAACTGAAATGTAGGGATTTATAAGGCTTACTGGTTGGCACATTCCATTAAGATAATGATTTCAACAACTTTTCTTCCAACCAGACACAGGCAATCAGAGAAGGCTTCAGGCCATCCAAACAGATACATATGAAATCTTAGCCTAAAATAAAAAGTGGGGTGAGCTAAGAAGCTATTGAACACCATCTACAACTGAGATTGCAATGGCGCAATCTCAGCATCTACAACAACAGAGTTGTTGCATTTGCATATTGTGGTTTGGCATCATCTGTAAAGGAGAGACTTACAAAGATCAAATCCAGAAGGTGTGTGGCTTAGATACAATCATCAAGCAGGACATGCTTGATACACACATATCTTCTTTACATTCTTTATTAAATTAAATGTTATTTGATATTGTATTGGTTTTGTAAACAACTGTTTTAGGTTTAAGCAGCATGATTGTCACGACACTTACAAAGGAGATCTTTGATCTCAACATTTTTTATCCTGGTTAAATAAAGTCTGAAGGAGAAGACCACATTAAATGTAAGTTTTAGTCCATTCTAGAATCTAGAATATAAAATAAATATAGAAATTAATGTTGACCATAGATTTAGGGCATAATATGAGAATTGTTTCAAAGGACCTTAATTTACAGGTGGGTCCAAAGCAAATTTTTATGTACAAAGCTCAGTGATACATGTGGGGAGCGAAGGCTGGTCGTACGGCCTGACCACACAGATTAACCACTTTAGCTCAAATTACTAAAGAAATCAAATCTGGAGTATTTAACTGTTATAAAACTTTTTTTTTTCTTTTTTTTTTTTAATTTGTTCAAACTGTTACCATGTTGTGACAGTGTAGTATGACAGATAAAAAAAAGAGCTCATCCACCTCCTCCCTGTGCTACCAGAAATGCCCCCCTTGATCAAAAACCACCAATCAGAACCAGGAGGAGTAATTTAGCTTTGTCAATCACATTCACATACTACCTGCTCTGTCTGTTAATGGCAAAGAAACAACTTACCATTACTGGAAAACTGTCATCGGTGCTCATGCTAATTAGCTTTAGCATTCATGACAGGTTCCATTGTGGTGAACCAGCTGTAGCATAGCAGCAAGCAAGAGGGAAATTGTGGGCAGCAGATACACAGGTATGATTGACAGCGCTAAGACCAAATTCCTGTCTCTGATTGGTTGTTTCTGACAGAGTAGTCTATTTCTGCAAATGACAGCAGGACCATAGGGAGATGATTATCTGTCTCATACTATGCTGTCACAAAATAATGAAAATTTTGACAAATATGTAAAAAACAAACATTTTTNCTGTAACTGATGTCGCCCTGTCGGATCACTTTGCTGTTATCTTTGAATGTTCTTTATCCATTAACCCACTTGGACAAACAGCTACTATCACAAAACGTACTTTCACAGAAAACACAGCAGAAACATTTAATCAAATCTTCTCTTCGTCCTCACCCTTAAGCTATAATGACGTAGATAAGTTGGTAGATGATTTTCAGAACAAACTTTGAGACATCATTGATTACATTGCCCCCATTAAAGTGAAGGTTGGGTCTGGGAGGAAGAAATCTCCATGGAGAAATGCACAAACAGTTCAGTCTGCAAGACAACTCTGCCGTAGGGCCGAACAGAAATGGCGCAAAACTCAACTGCACGTTTATTATGACATCTATAAAGAAAGACTACGTAACTATCACACAACACTAAAACTTGCAAGAGAGGCTTTCATTGCAGATGTCATAAACAAAAACCTTAACAATGCTCGAGCTCTATTTGCTACTGTTGACAGGCTCACGAATCCTCCTGTGACCCTGCCACCTAAACTTCAATCTAATGCCGCCTGCAACAAGTTTTCCAGTTTTTTTTTTCAGAGAAAATTCAAAAGATCAGAGGATTAATCTGCACATCCACTCCAAAGCCAGTACCTATGCTGTGCCCAAACAAAACAAATGCAGGAACAATGACCCAATTTCAACTACTAAATTATAAAACCCTAGAAGAAATTATAAGTCAATTAAGCTCCAGTTCCTGCTGTCTGGATGTCCTACCCACACATTTCTTTAAGAAAGACCTGCCTGTCATTAATGATCTGATCCAAATAGTAACTCATCGCTCTCTTCAGGTGTTTTCCCCCAGGCTTTGAAAACAGCAGTTATCAAACCACTGATAAAAAAGAACAATCTGGACAAATCACTACTGCAGAATTACAGGCTGATCTCCAACCTCCCATTCATCAGCAAAATTATTGAAAAAGCAGTTTTTAAACAATTAACTAACTTCCTAACAATAATGAATCGCTTTGACTCATTCCAGTCTGGTTTTCGTGCTCACCACAGCACTGAGATGGCCCTTGTAAAAGTGTTCAATGATATCCATATAAATACAGACTGTGGGAGAACCACAGTGCTGGTTCTGTTGGACCTCAGTGCAGCTTTTGACACTGTTGACCACGACATCTTACTGAATCGACTGGAGAGTTGGGTCGGACTCTCCGGTCCAGTGCTCAACTGGTTTGAATCTTACATAAAAAAACAGGGATTTCTTTGT